CTGGAACTTGCTCTGTAGACCAGGCTGGCCTCGAACTCACAGAGATCCACCTGGCTCTGCCTCCCAAGTGCTGGGATTAAAGGCGTGTGCCACCGCTGCCCGGCAGAGGTCAATTATTTGAGTCAAGATCACAATCTTCTTTGGGACACACACTGAATGGAAAGTACTAGAGTGCCGTGAGTTAGGGGGGGTGTTCCATAGGACTAGGGTGCGGTGTAGCTTAACCCTGTCACTGGGTGAAGATTGAGGACAGTTGCCCTGTCTCAGCCACTGGCTCCATGCTTTGGGTGAAAGTTGTTTTGGAGATTGAATGAAAAAATAAAAAGGAAGGACATGATGGCTCCTAGGTATGGTGGAGGAGGAGGTTTATTGCAGATAAAGGGAGAGATAGCCAGAGGCAGGGACATCTGGGAGAACCCAGAGTGAACATGACCCTGAGCCATGTGAGGGGACCAGGGGAGGGGAGAGGGGAGAGCCGAGAGCCAGACCAAGAGGCAGGACGATAAAGGGTAGATGAAAAAAGCCAGGTAAACAAAGTGGTTGGACTATTATTATAGGAAAGGGCAGGGAAGCCTAGCCCAATATCTGGGCTGGAGAAGTTTATGGTAGGGGTGAGGTATGCCAGCCAGGAGGGTCTTGTAACTGGTTGTGATTGAAGGCCGCAGGGAGAACCTGACATGATATGTTAAATAGGTGCCTCAGCAGTTTGTCTGGGATTTGAGACCTAACCAAGATAACCATGTCTTATAAAGTAGGTAACTTGGGTTTCTATGAGGAGCAACATAGAAAATGTGATAATGCTTGGTAAGATACATTTATTAGCCAATTTATGCAAACAGAAGACAATGATATCATAATAAGAGGTAATCAAGTCTTATTTTGAAAGATGGTATTTATTTTGTTTATTTCTTGGGTTTTTGAGACACGGTCTCACTATGTAGACGTGGCTGTCCTAGAATGCATTATGTAGACCAGGTTGGCCTCTAACTTTGATCCTCCCGAGTGCTGGAGTTAGAGGCCTGCACCACCACATCCAGCCTTTATTCTGATTCTTCATCCTAACCATTGCATATTTTAAAGTAGCGATTAATCTGGACGATTACTGTTGTCATGACAGTACCACAGACCTCGGGGCTTACCATAATTAACCTGGTGAACTTGGCATGCTAAGCGGGTTCTCTTTATGAGGTACTGCCTTGCAGCTCCCGCCAACTTGGTAGTGACTCAGCTCCCTTGGTCTCGATGCCACGCTCTTCTATATGTGGTCTCTGGCAGGCAAGAAAGGAGGATTATTTGAGAGAGATTTGAAGTGGAAATGGTTGCTGTTCTTACCACCACATTTTACTGGCCATGAACCAGTTGGATTATACTTTTAGATGAAGAGGGAAGAGGGAAATGTCCCCAGAAAGCAAAGTGTAGCAGTTCGCTCACTAGTTTAAGGGAAAGGCATTTTTTTTTTTTTTTTGTAGACCTTAATACCTTTAGTTCACACTTGCTGACTGGTTATATTACTGCATTATATGACCATGCTGGAGTGTTTTAACGTTGTGTGTGTGTGTGGTACTGGGCTTGAATATAAGACTTAGTTCATGCTCTGTGAGCATTATGCCCCTGAGATATACTCCAGCCCTCTCTTCACTTTAGGTTGAGACAAGGTCTTTCTAAGTTGTGTAGGCTGCCCTTGAGTTTGCTTTGTAGCCTAGGCAGGCCTTGAACTTGTGATTCTCCTGCTTCAGTCTCCTGAGTAGCTGGAATTATAGACCTGTGCTACCAGGCCCAGTTGAATATTTTTTTCCTGTAAGACATGGTTTCTCTATGTAGCCCTGTCCATCCTGGAGCTATCTGTAGACCAGGCTGGCCTCGAACTCAGAGATCTACCTTCCCAAGTGCTGGGATTAAAGGTGTGAGCCATTACCACCTGGCAAGTAGTTTTAATTTTTGATGAGTGTCTATATAATCAATCCTTGCTC